ATTCTCTCCATTTTTCGAAAGCCTCGTCGTAGTCTACACATTATGCAAATGATGTAGGTAAGGGTAATTGGGGTCAATGTGTGCCATGATCCTGAAAAAGAGAAACCTAAAACCTGTTTGAAACCGAACAGAAAAATTATGTTACTGATCTGGCTGAGTCGCGAACTAGGTTGCTCTCTTTAAGACGTTCGCGGCACTGCCTTCATTGCGCACGACAGACTATCAGTCGGTCGCCTCCAGGATAAAACAGCCACTCTAATTTTGTTGCTCATCGGTTTTGTGCGAAAACCAAAGCTCTATGAACTCAATCTCTTACTCGTATTTCTGCTCTCTAAGAGGGTGTCTTTAGAGGGTCTAGGGGTCTGCTATTTATAGGAGCAGAAAACCTAGAATATTCCTTCTTTCTTTGGGAATAAGCCACATTGTAATTAGGAAGATAACTACTCCCATAATTAAAATATATTATATTAAGATAATTAATCCTAGTTATCTCCATAATATTCTTGTTATTAATTATCCTTCTTATTTTCATATCTAGAAAGAATACTGGATAATTAATTCAATATATCTTTCAAAGCTATTCATTCCCAACAATCCCCCACTTGAATAGTTTGAAACTATCTCTGAGCATCAATAGATCCATAATATCGAGCATAAGCTAAGGTATCGCAAAGATTTGAACCTTAGCATAGTGGTTACACTTCCGATTTCATAAGGGTGACTCATAGTCTTGAACCCTATCTCAGACAATGTAGCACACCGGATCTTTTCATTGAGTGATATTATCTCATAGGCCGTGCGTTTATGGCCATGCACGTTATCCCGGTTTAGTGAACACTCTAGCAACTTTGTGCCTCCAAAGTTCCATAGGGAGCGGCCCCACTCCCACATTCACATAGGTGAGTCTATCAGAAGTACCCCCAAAGTACAGTACTTCACTCCACATAGAGTATAGATCTCATTAAGAGTTACTATTAACTCAACCTCCAATGCTTTGGCTTTCATGCTTCACTATGCATGAACTTTTCTCAATATTACTCATGACTTGTTATTACCCATTGAACCCGTTTCTTGGGATCTCCAGTCTATCGGGTCGGGTTACCATCACTTGTAATCCATGGTTCGGTAGGCATAAGTCTCATACCCTTCGTGGTATTTTGGACTTTCTCTCTAGCTAGTCCTTTCGTCAAAGGACCAGCTAGATTCTTTTATAATCTCAAGTTCATCCTTTCGTCAAAGGATAACCTAGATTCTCTTTTAAGTGATCCACGATTACTGCTCCAACAGTTAGGGACTCTCTCTTCCAATACTGTTCTTAAGACGAACTTTTCGCCTCTCACCATTTGTTACGGTTCTATTTAGCAATTGCTATCGCAATGGATCAATACCGGCGGATAGGGTTTTTCCCATAGGGGAATCTCTAGCAATGACCCTCTCAATCAACTTTCTTCTTTACTAGCCATTGCTAGTTCTATCATTTCTGATTCTATAGTTGATTGAGCCAGGATCGTTTCCTTCTTTTTCTTAGACTTCCAAGACACAACTTCTCTATCGATGTTTAAAACATAGCTTCTGGGTATCTTGGAGTCCTCTATAGGGTATTCTAGTCCGCATCACTATACCCTACCAATACAGCAAAAAATTGTTGATAATTTATATCAAGTTCCACTGTTCTCTTAAGGTGTCTCATGACCCCTTTCAATAGCATTTCAATGCTTCATACTAGGACAATGAGAAAGCCTGCCAAGTACCCCCACTAAATCAGGTCTCATGTTTATTAGCTGCCTCTCGCAGATTGTCGATGCTAGTATTTTCTTACTTTCTTACACCGTCTTTGGTGCTCTTTTAAAATTGTACTAGCATCTTCAAACATTGAGGCAAGTGTACAACTTGTATTTCTTATAGATCTTCACTGTCCTAATCATTTGGATCTCCAAACATAAAACTTGTTTCATCCACATCATTATCATTCAAATTCTCAAACACAGTTTTTTTTTCCTCTTCACATTATTAATATCATGAATCTTTGTACCAAAGATCTACATGACATTCATAGTGCAAGTGTCATTTTCAAATTGTACTAAATGCACTTGTCACTTCCATTTAAAACCATGAGAGAACCATATTTTTCATGCCACGACTTTTCTAACCATAGACTTTAAAAGCATGTCCAGGAATAACAACTCTTTAGGTTGTCCCATGTAGATTTATTTATCTAAATCGCCATTCACAAAATAAGTTTAACATCCATCTAAAGCACAACAAACACAATCAGAACGCACATGAATGTTATTCTATATATTGGTGAAAAGATATCAAGAAAATCTACAATATATTCCTCTTCACCTTAAGCCTTAGCTACTCCGTGATTCTTTTACTCATAAACTAAACCATCAGGTTTCAGTTTTTCTTTTAGGAATCCATTTATTACCTTCACTCCATTGTTAGGAGGTAATTCTCAAAGATGTCAAATCTTGTTCGATTTCATCGATATATTACCCACGACTTACGGTCGAGAGGTAACTCTACAAGATTCTAAGTCTTATTAGACTCCAATAATTTCATTTCGTTAATAATGGATTCTCCCACAAATCTGCATCTTTATGGAAGTTCGAACTTCTTGCAGATTTGTAGGATCTTTCTTTCTTAGAGTGTAAATAACAAATTCATAACCAATATCCTTTCGTGATTTATGGTTCATTTGTTTCTTCTGAGTTCATACCCAGATTCATCACCCCCACCAGTAATCCATTATTTCTAATAGTAGGCAGGATATCACCCCCACTATTTCTTAATTTTAAATGGAAGTCTATTGGCAACCATGGATTCCACAACATAATGAGTACTCAACTTATGAAGCCTAGCTATGTGTTTTCCATAGCATATCCAAAAACAAATGATCATATGCTTACTTGTAATCATATTGCATTGATTCTCTAATTCTAAAATTAGCTAAGTAATCAAAGCAATCAACAATTATGCGTGAAAGCATTTCAAACCATTCCAAGCAAGCATCTCATCACGTTTATCCAAAATAAACCAGATCTAAAAATTCTGATTCTCTGATCACATTTTATGTATAATTTATCTTATCTATAGAAATCACATTTACCACGACCATTATGAGAATGTTACCCTAGCTATTCAATTCTTCAAGATATACGTGCATGCAATACCCATAAAAATTCACACTTTAATATTATCATCATGTGCATCTCATGATCGTTCTCAATAGTGGAGTGAGCAATACTCAACAACAATTTCTTAATAGCATATGGCTTAGTATGCTTCGAGGTACCACTATTTAGCCATAATTCTTCAGAGTTACCAGAGTTACCAGCAAGGTTAATCTCTACTCTTTTCACAATCATCACAACCACCAATCCTTCTTTTCAGTCAAGTTAACACTAGAACTAGTGTTATACTTGCTCATATACTTTCGTGTCATATGACCTAATTTCTCGCAACTATTGCAGAGTAATAAAGCGTCATTCTTAGAGGATTGGTTGATGATCCTTTAATTACCACGAATGGTACCATTCTAATTGGTGTGGATCTGGTTCGTGTCATATTTACCACATAATATACATACATATATGCTTCAGAGTATGCATTCGTGTAATCAAAATTACTCTCCACAACTCGTACACAAAGTTGTACTCTAGCCATATTCAATGCTATGCTATTCATGCATAGGTTCTATCTTTCATTTTTTTTTTTTTTTTTTTTTGCATTCAAAAGGATTCTTGATTTCATGCATGAAACTAGATAGCATAGATTTTAATTTATCATTCATTAATAGCTCGGGTCGAGTTTCTAACCACTTTTTTTTTTTTTTTTTGCAAGTCGTATGACATTCGGTCTGCAATTTATGTAGTCATGGACACACCCTTGAACTTCCCAGAGTGACGATTACGATTTGGTGACGTGGTTCTTAAGATCAAGTCTTTCATGCTCGATGACCTCAAGAATTTTCCACTGCGTGAAAATTAACTTGCTGTCTTAGTTTGAATTTCTTCTTCTTGACCTTGAGCTGACGTGGATTGATTTGTGATGCTGACTTGCATCCATTAAATCAAAGGCCTCTAACCACCCATGCTATATTATTTACAATTCCTCTGTTGGCAGCACTGATTGAACAGACTGGGCTTGTCAAGACTCGGCCCAACTAAATGAGCAATTGGCGAAACCCTACTTTGGCCGCCTTCTCCAACGATTTTCCTTCCTTCCTGGCTGTGAGATCAAAAGGATCCACCAGTTCAGCTTAATTCCGCCGCTCAAATTTTCGTGTCTCTGGGTCGATTAATTGTACCAGAAATAATCAAACCGCTGCGTTCCAATCCATCTCCGCCTGAAAGTTGCCAATGATTCTAGTTATCACCATATCCAAGAACTGAAGTCGGGCATCAGGACTGCATGGTCCACACTCTTCTCCTTTGGCACGTTGGTCAAGATTTGTGAGATGCAGTGGCCTCACAACACAATTTCCTTTCTTCCCAGGGAGGAAATTCCCTTCGTATGATTAAAGCTTTGCTCCTTACTTTCGCTGCTCCTTAATGAAATAGAGCCCCCGGTCGGGACAGGATACGGTGACAACCCCCTTGGGGGTTGTCAGATTCACAACCACCTTTGTGGCCATCGGATACGTTCTCTCTCCTGTCTTTTTCTTCTTTTTTTAAATTAATGGTTAAGATTAAACCAAGGGCAAATTCGGAATGGAAAACTTACCACATGAGATCCTTTCCATTTTCCATATAAATACTTTTTATTACCAAAAAAAAAAAACAGACCCTCCCCCATTCTCCTGCGTCTCCCTTCTCTTCCCCTCTCACATATCTCTAACAAAAAAACCCTAGCCGTCAAGAGCTCCACCACCGTCGCCGCCTCTGCCTCCCCTGCCGCCGCGCCGCTGTCCTCCCCTCGCGCCCCGCCCCGCCGCTGTCCTCCCCGCGCCGCTGTCCTCCCCTCCCTCTTCCTCTCCCGTGCCCACCGTTCACAGCCTGCTGTCCCCGCCATCATGATCGAGATCTACGCGGCCGCCTGGCTCCGCGACGTCCAGATCGGCTCCGTCCGCGTTCTCATCAGCAACGTCCAGATCGACGTCCAGATCGTCTCTACACCAAGCTCTCTGCCTCCGGCGTCGGCTTCAACGACCTCCTCGACGCCAAGGCCACCGCCGGGGGTGCGAAGAATCTCGATGAGAAGACCGCCAATGCTAGTGGTACCAATTCCTATTGGTACGATACCACTACTCACTGGTACGTACCAGTGGCTCCCCTACCACTACTCACTGGTACCACTATCATCTGGTACCACTATCATCTAATACCACTATTATCTGTTTTTTTGTGTTATTCTCTACTGGTACCACTACCAATGATAGTGGTAGCGCTACCAGTGCTAGTAGCGTTGTGTTATTCTCTACTGGTAGCGTTGTACAGGTAGCGTACCACTAGTATTGGTACATTTTTTACTGGTACCGCTAGTACTGGTACATTTTTTAACGTACTGGTAGCGTACCACTAGCACTGGTATATTAATTACCAGTAGACTAATAGATTGGTACACTTTTTAACGCATTGGTACATTTTTTCAGGTTGCCGGAGGGAGTCTGCCGGAGAGAATTCGCCGGAGAAAAATTTTGTCAGTCGATGCGGAGTGGCTGCTGGAGAAAGGAAAAGAGAGAGAGAGAGAGATAGATAGAGATATTAATGTATAAGATTTAAATTTCAGAAAAAAATTGTATTTAATATGGGTATTAAATTCCCAATATAATTAATACAAAAAAGGTAATTAATATATTCATTTTTTTCATACCCAAAATATCCTTGGTTGTGAATCTGACAACCCCCAAGGGGGTTGTCACCGTATCCTGTCCCCCCCGGTCCAATTAATTTACCCAAAAAGAGTCCAGAAGCTACGTTCCAAAGATCCTCTCCAGATCCCCTTCTTCTTGAATTCCCTTTCCTTTCGGATTTCTTTTAACTCCGTGGAAAATTACCTGAGCTAATCAACCGCAACACTAAAATTGTTTGAAACCGAACAGAAAAATAAAGTTACCGATCTGACTGAGTCGTGGACTAAGTCGCTCTCTTTAAAACGTTCGCGGCACTGCCTTCATTGCGAACGGCAGACTATCAGCCGGTCGCCTCCAGGATAAAACAGTCACTCTAATTTTGTTGCTCATCGGTTTGGTGCGAAAACCGGAGCTCTATGAACTCACTCTCTGTCTCGTATTTCTGCTCTCTAAGGGGGTGTCTTTAGAGGGTCTAGGGGTCTGCTATTTATAGGAGCAGAAAACCTAGAATATTCCTTCTTTCTTTGGGAATATGCCACATTTTGATTAGGAAGATAATTACTCCCATAATTAAAATATATTATATTAAGATAATTAATCCTAATTATCTCCATAATATTCTTGTTATTAATTATCCTTCTTATTTTCGTATCTAGAAAGAATACTGGATAATTAATTCAATATAGCTTTCAAAACTATTCATTCCCAACAAAACCCCCCACTCAAAGTTTGTTAGCACATCAATTTGGGGGAAAAGAACTTACCCCACTCTTAAGCACAAATTTAGGATGCAAGCCTAGCTAACTCAACACTCTTAGTGAATGCAATAAGAATTCAGCTCAAACACAAGGACTATCAAGAACATTATTCAAACAATTAAACAACTAATCAAGCTAAACTTGTTTCGTCGATTATCAACCTACAAATTGACAAATTGACAACTATCACGAGCAAATTATACCCTTCTCATAAACTTGTTTCGTCGATTATCAAAAGAAATTTAGAAATTACCTCGTCAATTTATTTATCTACTATCACGAGCAAATTAGACCCTCTTGCTAAACTTGTCCCATCAACTATTATGGGCAATTTAGAAATTAACTAGCCAATTTGTTTTGTCGACTATCACAAGCAAATTAGACCCACCTGCTAAACTTGTTTTGTTGACTATCAGGGGCAAATTAGAAATTACCTAGCCAATTTTTTTCTTCAATCATTACGAGCAAATTAGACCCGCCTGCTAAACTTGTTTCATCCACAATCATTGGAAATTTAGAAATTACCTAGTCAATTTTTTTATTGTCGACTAGCAAGAGCAAATTTGATCCCCCTGATAAACTTGTCCGTTGTTTATCACTGGCAATTTAGAAATTACACCATCAATTTGTTTCATCAATATCACAAGCAAATCACCTTCTTGATAAACTTGTTACGTCGATTATCAAGGGCAATTTAGAAATTACCTCGTCAATTTTTTTTTGTCAACTATCACAAGCAAATTATACACGGCCAATTTATATATTACCTATTCAATTTGGTTTGTCGACTATACTAGCAAATAAGACCATCTCTTCCGAGCACGATTGTGAAGCATAGGAGAAAGAAAGGGAGAAAATAGGCAGATTGTAGCAGAAAGGAGGAATTTTAGAAAACAAAACACCAAGATCGTAGCCTATGGATGCATGATATTAGCCCAAAAGTTCAGGTCACAAAGTCTTGCTAAATATGGTGAGCTAGAGCTAAGAGATCGCATATGCAATCTGGAGACCCTTGGCCGTGAACTTCAAAACGAAGTGTCGACTGAAGGATAGAGAGTTTTGCTAGGCGGTACAGGTCTCCTTGAACGAAACCGTGAAGCAAGGGCACGATCTGCCGATCTCCCTCAACCCTAGGAAGACGCTGATGATCGTGGGCTTCGCATGAATGATCACAACCGTGATCTATTCACCTTCGGCCGCGATCTTGCCCAAGATTTCAAGAGCCTACATATAGAAGAGCTGTTGGAGAAAGAGGGGAGAGCTGGCCTAGAGTATGAAAATTAGGGTTTTGAGCTACTTTTAGAGAGAGAAACACCTTGGAGAGTTTTATTGAAGATCCAATAATCCACCCAAGTAGTGAGGATAAGAAGATGAATTCCACCAATCCTCCTCTTCTTAGTTTGTATTTTCTCTCTCTCTAAGACTTGAATATCTAATTGTTATTTAGGAAAGGTGAACCCTAGATTATAGTTTGTTTATGTATGGTTTTAGTGATTTTATGCTTCATGTATGCTTAATTATGTTTGGATATGTCGCACTACTCTTCCCTATCAGCCTGCAACTGAGCCAAATGCTAGGCCAGAGTTTAGGGTTAGAGAGGGCAGCACCAACTGGCAGATAAAGGGTAGATGAATTATCTTAGGTCTTGTAGTGGACGAGGCGACTGTACCCCTGCTATAGTAACGCCTGTCTAGAATGATTCTTTAGGGGCATGCAAACATGTATTAATCCATCTCTTTAGTGTGCACGATAGGTAGAACCTATTGAAATGAGCTAAATGCCTAATGCCCCAGAGACGAGAGCCTGGATCAAGATCACAATGGGTCTTGGGGAGCGGTACTCAGAGGTGTGGGTTGACGACGTAGGCACATAGGATTAGAGATCTCACACATCGTATCCTATAAACTCAACATAGCAACTATAGCTAGGGGGATTCAATCCTATGCAACCAACTCATATGTAGCGGTCTCCCAACCACTAGATTGGTTGTTTGTTTTTGTTTTTGTTAGGATATATTAGATTATTCACCAAACCTTTGATTTAATTTTATAGTAGTTCAGAGCAAAGTAATAGTTAGCTTAGGGTTTCATTTGATAGACCTAGTCACTTTACTACATGCCTAGCATAGTTATACTTGGCTTTGTTAGGATTGACTAGTTAGTGCGCATCGACTTATGAATTTAACGTTGGATTCAACACGATCAAGGTGGTCGTTTACCTTAAATGGCTAGGTCTGTGCATTATAGATATGCATCGTGCCATACAGAAACATGTGGGTACGATGAAAGGTCCTGACCATCTCGAACACAGCTTGCCCGTGAAGAGTTTCAAGCGTGCGTTATAAAGCAAAATGCGATTGCCAACCTGAAAATCTTTGGAGACGCTATGTTTTCTCCTTACACATCCTACTATTTTTATAGGCATGGTAATGCCATTCATCCAATTCCAGTAAATGCAGCTTACGTTCAATACTTGCAACACTAAGATCCAGGTTTAGCTCGACAGGAGAATCACAAGTCATTCCATAGACAAGCCGATATGTCGAAGTACCAATTGGTGTCTTGTAGGCGCACATGTATGCCCAGACAGCATCATCGAGCTCAGTAGACCAATCCTTGCAGGAACTATCCACCATCTTCTAAAATTTCTACTTCAACTTCCGGTTCGTCATCTCGGCTTGACCATTCGTTTGAGGGTGGTAAGCCATAGAGACCTTGTGTTTGACATCATAGCGATAGAGGAGCTTATTGAATTGCCCTTGAAAATGGGTTCCTCTATCGCAAATGATGGTTGAGGTGTCCCAAACCGAGTGAAGAGCTGCTTCACAAACTAACAACCATGTCTTGTATCATTGGTGGGCATGGCATGTGCTTCTCCCTACCTCAAAACGTAATCAACAACAACGAGGATAAAAAGATTAGTAAAAGCTAGAGGAAAGGGGACCATGAAATTAATGGCACATGCATAAAAAAAATCACAAATGGTAAACGCTTTTTCGGGCATCTCACCCCGGGCATAAATATTATCTATCCTCTGCAGCGGTCTCACTTGAGTGCAAATGCGTTAGCATCATTGAAGAGCGAGGGTTAGTAGAAGCCTGACTGCAGCACCATTCGCGGCGTGCGGCTTCTTCCATGATGACAGCTCGAAGGTCTCTCGTGGCCGTGAGACAAAATGATCTCCATCTCATGCTTCAAGTTAGAGAAGAACTTTCGTTTTGCATGGGTCCGCCCCCTTTGGCAACTGCTTGCTCACAAGGTAGTTCGCGAAGTCGGAGTGCCATGTGGTCACACTCTCTCATAAGGAACAGCTGTAGCAGGTGATCATCTAGGAAGGAATCATTAATCTCCTCTACGAAGTTGTCCAGTAGAGGGACTTCCAACCATGAGAGATTATCTGCAAAAACCTTCTGCCTTCTTATCCCGGATCTCCATATCAAAATTTTGCATGAGCAAGATCCATCGTATTACTCTAGGCTTGGCATCAACCTCGCTCATCAAGAACTGGATCGCAGAGTGGTTCATGTAGAATACAACTCGGGACAAAGCAGATAAGGCCTAAACTTGTCAAATGCATACACCACTATTAGCAGCTCATTCTCTTTAGTGGTGTAGTGATCCTGGCATTGAGGGTCTTGGGCTTGTATTAGATAAGGTAGAATGCTTATCGCACCGCTGCCCCAATGCCTTCCCCACAGCATAGTCACAGGCTTCACACATCAGCTCGGATGGCAAAGACCAGTACGGAGTCACCATGATTACAGCATGGGTAAGCATCTCCTTCAGATAATCAAATGCAGTTGTGCACTCCGCAGTGAACTGGAAGATATCATCCCTCTCTAGCAGCTTGGTCAATGGCAAGGCTATTTTCAAGAAATTGAGAATTTTCCATGAAGACCTTCATAATCTCTTCGACTAGCCAGTTGAAGATAGCTATCATGCACCTCTGGAAAGTAGTTGGTGCATTGTAGAGCCCGAATGAGATCCATCTATATGCAAAGGTATCTAATGGGCACGTGAATATGGTTTTTGCTTGATCCTTCGGGCCACTAGGCTACCCTTATGCTCAAAGTGAGCTTCGAGCTCATGATCACAGAGAGCTTGTTCCCCTCCCGAGGAAATGCATACTCCAGGTGAGCGAGGAGGGGCTTAATTTCCAGCTATGGTGGCTCCTCCAAAGACGGGCAATCCGGGGCAAGTGGGGAATCGGCTTAAACGGCTTTTAGCGCCTCTGGATCACAGTTTTGTCTAGTGCTGCCAATTGCTCCTCCAACTGCAGCTCTTGTGATGCTTGTTCCCCTAGCAAAAGATAGTGCTCAAGGAAATCATCAGTAACGCACTCATGATGGCGAGTGTAGTTTCAAAATCAACAAGCACATCACAGTAAGCAAGATCATCATGCAAGAGGGAATGTTTCAGATTATCAGCAAAGAAAATATAACTTGTTCACCCAGCCCGCAAAATTAATTTGCCATCATTCATATTAACAAATGTCTTGGTGGTGGCAAGAAAGAGTCTACACAGAATTAATGGCACATCCACATCCTCATTAGATGGATCCCATTAGTTTGAGGGCGGTAAGCCATAGAGACCTTGTGTTTGACATCATAGCGATAGAGGA